CTGGGGGCCTCAGCACAGGAAAGACACATGGACCTCTGGAGGGAGTCCAGAGGAGCCTGTAAAGATGATTAGAAGAAATGAGCACCTCTGTTACAAGAACACGCTGAGAGAGCTGGCCTTGTTCAGCATGGAGAAGACAAGTCTCAGGGGAGAATTCACTGCAACCTTCCAGTACCTGAAGGGGGCTTAGAAAAGGAGGGAGAGGAACTTTTTATATGAGCATATGATAGGAGAAAAAGCAGTGGTTTTAAACTGAAAGAGGGCAGGCTTAGATTAGATGCTAGGAAGAAATTCTTTCCTCAGAGGGTGGTGCTTCACTAGAAGCGCTGCTAGAGGTTGCCCAAAGATGTTGTGGATGTGGCATCCTTGGAAGTGTTCAAGGGCAGGCTTGAATGGGGCTTTGACAAATGTGGCCTAGTGGGAGTTATCCCAGGGAGGCTGGGACTAGGTGATCTTTAAGGTCCCTTCCAATCCAGGCCATTCTATGACTCTCTATTCTGTCATCCTTGGAACCACTCTGGAGCTGTTCACTGTCTTGCAGCAAGTCTTTAAGCCACTGTCCAAAAGTTAAGACATCTTTGTTGCAAATATTTGACTGCTAAGTTTTAAAGTGTTGACCAGAGAGATCTGGCTAGGGCTCTTTGGATACAGGCACAGCTGTTCAGGGAGGAAAAGGCAAGCTGAAGGTGTGCTCCTTGGTGATGGGGAAGCAGGGGTGGTTTTAGGGTTGAGTAGCAGCTTGAGTGACAGCTCTGAAGACCCACAGAGCATGCATTCATTCCCTCTGTTCCTTCTGTCTCCCTTTCCAAGGTGGATGCCCAGCTGCAGGTTGTACGGAAGCTGGAGGAGAAGGAACACTTACTGCAGAACAGTATTGGAACAGGAGAGAAGGAATTGGGTCTGCGAACACAGGCCCTGGAAATGAACAAACGCAAGGTGAGCGATGCCTTTGTTTCCTCTTGGTCTGTGTGGTGGAGCTGCTGCCTTGTGGGAGTCATAGAAGGCTCTGAGCTCTCATTGGCATTACAGAACCTGATACTCCCTGGTTTTGGATGAGTATATCAGAAGCTGAGGAGTCCTGCAGAGAACTATATTTTCCTTTGGTAAGGAGAAGCAGGACATACGTGTTTCTGTGAAACCTATGGTGAAGAAAGAGACAGCAGCTAGATGAAGTTAACTGGGGTCAAAGCTTTTGTAGGAAAGACGGGATAAGCAAAAGGAGAATAGAGCTGGGAAATGGGAACACTTCTAACAAATGCCTCATGAAAAAAGTAGATGTGTTACCAGTAGAATAAGACTAAGTCTTATGGTTGATGCTGCCTTTGTTGTTAAGTTTTAGTAGAAATATAGAAATTACATTAAAATAGGCAGAAAGGAAAGCAGGAATATCACTGTGAAGAGGAGCTGGGGAGAACTCAGCAAGTGTCACCTGTGCTTAATATGACAATTCATGGTATTAAGGGCATTTGGTTATCAAGTTAGCAGAGAACTAGTGAAGAGAGAAGATTGTTAGAAATCTCACAGTTCTGTCTAGTTCAGCTGTAGAACTGCCTCTAAACAATTTAATAGAGAAAATGTGGAAACTGGCAGACTGAAAATACATTAAGATTTGGATGATCGTTAGTGTTTTTCCAAGTGATGTGCTTTGCAGTGTGCCAAGGTTGGGCTCTGCCCAAAGGAATCTTGAAGCTAAATGATTAGAACTTGTTAAGAATAAAGTAATAACAAGGGTCTAGAAATCATGAGAGCTGTTTTTCTGTGTTTGGTCCTTCTATACTGGTTTTCTTTCTCAGGCTATGGATGCAGCGCAGCTTGCAGATGATCTGAAGGCCCAGCTAGAGCTGGCTCAGAAGAAGTTACATGATTTTCAGGAGGAGATTGTGGAAAACAGAGTAACTAGAGAGAAAGAGATGTTCAACTTCAAAAGGGCTGAGGTATATATCCTATGCACAATCCTTCAAGGTCTGTCTGCTTTAGTGTCCTTCTCCTTGTACACTGAGCTTGCAGAGGGTTTCAGCTTTACTGCTCTTCGTGTCCAGTTTCACTTTATCTTTGGCTTCATCAGGTCTTGGCTCTTTCAGATTTTGTCTGCTGACAAGTCTGATAACTGGCAATACTTGTGGCATCAGATGATTGTGTTGTCCCTTGGATTTTAGGGGATGAAACTATGGGTGGCATTACTTACCCAGGTGATATTCTCTTTTGTCCCTGAGAAGCTGTGATAGAAAATGTACTGCTCCTTCATTTGGTCTCCTGTTTTTATGCAGGAAGATATTTCTAGGTTGCGCAGGAAGCTGGAGACCACAAAGAAGCCTGACATGGTTCCCAATTGTGATGAGATCCTGATGGAGGAAATCAAGGATTACAAGGTGAGTATCTGTGTCTGTCAGGTTCCCTTTTCACTTTAGGCAGAAGGTGTGTAGGCACACTTTCAATATCTGATATCTCTTATCTGTACTTTGGCACTGAAGAAAAAACATTGTCCTTCTGAGAAATGGAAGCACCTTCACCTTGAGACATCTCTGAGCACAGCAGCTGGGCTGCAGGGCCCCTCACAGCTCTGTTTGTGTGTGTGTTTCAGGCCCGCCTGACATGCCCGTGCTGCAACATGCGTAAGAAGGACGCGGTGCTCACCAAGTGCTTCCACGTCTTCTGCTTCGAGTGCGTGAAGACGCGCTATGACACCCGGCAGCGCAAGTGCCCCAAGTGCAACGCTGCCTTTGGGGCCAATGACTTCCACAGGATCTACATTGGCTGAGGCTCTCACAGAGCCTCTGCTTGTGTGAGCTGCCTCCCTCCCTCTGTCAGCTTCTGCCACCTGAGCTGTAGTGTCTTCTGGAGGTGCGTTCAGGGTCTCAAAAGAAATGCACTCTGGATCTTGCTTCCTTTCTTGGCCCTGTCCCTTTGGTCTTGCCCTCAGTTTTTGTGTGCTCTTTGTGCCTGGGAGGAAATTTCCTATCTGTCACTTTGATACTGCCGGGGTGGGAATCTGCAACTGAGGTGCTGCCTTGGTGGGATGGAAGCTGAGCTGCAGCAGAGATTAGTGAGAGTTTTATGTGAGGGCTCTGCTTTGGATGCTAATTAAATCCTATCAAGGGATGGCTCTGCACCTGGGAGGGAAGAGTTTCCCAAGTAGCAGACCAAATAGAAGCCAAGGAACTGAATCTGTAGACTGAGCAGAGCAGCTCCTTGTGTACCTGTGTATCTTCCTGAGTCAGGGCAAGAACTCCTGAGGGCTGGTGCACTAGGAAACATCCTCCCTAGCCTCTAACAAACACATCTAAATATGTAGAAGAGGAGAAAGGGAGAGATCTTGGAGACCCTTAGAAAACAGCATGTCACTGGTGAGCTCTGGTTAATGTATTTAACCTTCCCCTAGGCTGAGGCATTGCTGCCATTGTCCTCAGAAAAGGACTTCTAGCAGCTCCTTTGCTTCAACTGTACCACAAATATTAATCTTGTTATGCACACGTTCTTATTAAAGCTGTTGTTTGGCTTATTTTTCTGTTTCTCTTGCCTCTGGTACTATCTGTCTGTTCTCCCATCCCTTGTCCAGTTCTTGGAAACATTTCTCACAAGCTTGAAACTTCTAGAGTAGAGACAATTAATTCCTTCTTCCTCTGCTTTCAAAATATGCTCAACTAGAACAACTTTTGTCTCTTTGGCTCTATCCCCGGTACCTTATTCCTGACACAACAGGAGGGCCAGGATTCTGCATTATTTCTGCAGTCATTTTGCCATGGCTGCTGGAAATTTTGGTAGGGATGTGGTGTGGCTTAGAATCTCAGTGCTCCCTGTACTTGGAGGCTGCATTTGAAGTCTGCTCCTAAAATCAAAATGGGAAGTTGTTGCCTTTCCACATTTCTTCCTAGGGTGTAGTGTTTTCTCCATAAACTTAATGTGCATGGAAAGTGCACCTGTCAGAGGCTTGTCTCTTGGGTGTCCATCCCATGAAGCATGGAATCTCTGGCCTTCCTCCATCCCCTCCCTGCAGAACATAACAGATCTCAGATGTTAGATGTTACATGGTGGCTAACAGATGGCCTGGAGGCCTCGAATTTATAGATAACTAATTAGAACTCGATGGGTCTAGACTAGGAGAAAAACATCCTTAGTGGAAAAGCGTTGTAAAGCTTGGAGATTTAAATTCGATCAATGCCAGCCAACCCCCAGCAGGCATGGAGGTAGGCAGCTATGGGCCAGTGAACTGGGTAGTAACCAAATTCAGCCAATTGGAATCACCCATACAGGTTTTTGAAAACCATATAAAAAGGAACTTCACTCAATAAAAATTTGCTGTTGCCACATGAACTATGGAGTGTTGTGTCATATCCATCTCAACTGCGACAAACACAAAGTGGCTCTTATACTATTCATTATTATCCTGGTGAAAACATTCAGAATATATGAATAAAGCCTTGTAAATGATGAGAAATCCTGAAAAGTGAGAAGGAACACAGCATCCTGCTTTCCAAGGGGAACTTGGGATGCTGAGGATTTCTGCAAGTGCTGTGACGAGGTGTAAGAGCTGTTAGAAGGAATGAGAGTAGCAGCCTTTTGCCTTTCACTGAAAGTTGCTCCTGGTTCTGACAGCAAGTTGTCTAAAGAACGGTCTGTTAATGCTGCTGGTGGATTTTGGGGTACAAATGCTTGTTCATCACAACCAGGACTTGGTTTATGAACAAACTGTCTGCATCTTCAAACAGCTTTGCTACAGCAGCAAGAGTTCTTTTCCAGCAGTGAACAGCAATTTGAACTGAACAGCCCCAGCAGAGCTGCAAAGCCACTCTGTCCTTCCCCACTCACTCTTGTATCACCTTTCTACTGAAGTTGAGCTTTGTGTGCACACTGCTCAGGTTGGCTTCCCTCAGGTCATGGCAGGAAATGGATACTTCAAACAATCTGCTTGAGTTTCACAAAGGAGTTTTGGAAACTCCTCTCTTATAAAGAAAAAAGTCTCGGTTTTGTTTTAAAATAATAGCTTATTTCAAGCTCATTTTGGAAGTGACTAAGTTTCTCTTGGTGGATAGAATTTAAACACTGAGAAACCGAAGATTTTAGATTATCTGTTTTCCAGAATGTACAGAAAGAATTCTACTTTATCAGGCTAGAAGTATTGGGTTAAAAGTAAGGGGTGACAACCTTTATCAAAAGGTTCTCTAAATTCAGTGTCTGATGTGCTGAGGCCTGAGCAGCAGGCCTGAGTGAGAGCTGACTTACAGGATGAATCTTGAGCATTGTGTCCTTAATTCCATCAGTATTTAGTGGAAAAATAGATTACAAAGATGGTTATTCTAGCTCTGTATAACCTTTTACCCTGCAGCCTCCAGGGGCAAGGGCTTTGTGGGAGCAGGGGCCATCACAGCCTGTGATCTGGAAATAGACCCAGAAAAATGAGCAGATCCTGCTGGCTTCTGCTACTGCTGATCCTAGCAGCAACTCCTCTGGGGAGTTCTTCCAGGGAACTTCAAACAAAGGGCTTCCATCATTATAGTGGTTGTGAGAACTTGTTGATTCCCAGTTCTCCTGGATTTTGGACCATTTCAGCACCTGTGTCAGTGGCCCTTCCTTCACCCCCAGCCTGCAGCAGTTACAGTCACTGTTGCCTCCCCCTTATTCCAGCTCATTTGCCAAAGCACTGCCAAAGGCAGCAGAGTTGGCTCAGGATCCCTGTTGGCTTCTGGTCTCCAGGATGACATTTAGAGGGACACTTAGAGTGCTTCCTAAAGAGCTGCCCATGGGATGGGCGTGGATTTGTCCTCCCTGGATGGCTCCTACTTTGAGTTCTACACACAGCAGAGTCCCGGAGTGTTCTCAGCAGGCTTTTGCAGTTCTTAGCCAACATGTGGCTCTGCTGCCATCCCAAATCTGCGCTTTCCTTTCCCAGCCTGAGCAAAAGTGGGGCATATGCTGGGCATGGCTGGAGATTTTCATGACCAAAATCCTCCAGCATCATCGCATTTACATCTGCCCATTGCTTTGGATAGCACAAATCACAAACCACCCATCTCAGCTGATAAATGTCATTTCTTGCAGATTGCTGCAGCTGCACAGCTGATCTACAAATATACAAGAATCGATTTAATTTGAAAAATGTAATTTATTACAAATTGCTACACCCACACTGATAATACATAACTATACAAATCTCAGTTAAGGTTAAAAAATAGAATTTACTATATTAGTACAGCAATGCTATGTAAAAATATACAAATACCAACTTCAGTTAACAAAATGTAATTTAATTCCAACCTCTACGACAACTCACTACACACAAGCATCAATTAGGTGTTTAACAACCTAATTTATTACATATTACTACAAGCTTAACGCCTCAGAATACAAAAATATGCATTCCCTCTCTAAATAAGTGTACCAACACTACAGTTGATAGAATTATACAACTATACCACTCCATATATGTTCAAATAGAACTAAATACATATATATACATAAATATATAGACATGTATAACAATCTTCAGATGCAAGTATAGATTAAATAGTACATATTACATACAATATATACATAAACAGATATATAAAACAAACCTATCTATAAATATAAAAATACCACTGTGCCAAGCTAAATATCCATACAAATGCATCCATACAAATACACAGCTGTACATATGGATACATATGTAAATATAATTACATACAAAAATATGTCAATATACATATAAAGATAGACATACCTACCTATGTAAATGCCAATATACCTATTTGAAGAGCCAAATAACTATAATTGCATCAATAGAAATAGATATTTGCACAAATGTATACATATGAAATAGAATTCAATGCTGATATAACAACATACATGAATACTTAGATACCTATAGACACATATATGTAATCACAAATATATATGTATATATGCATACATATATACATAGAATACATCCATAAATATAACAACATACATACAGAAATATTACTATACAAATAGCAACATACGTATTTAATTATCACTCTCTATGTTCAAGTCCACGCATTTTTACACAGAACTCTAAGCAGAAGGATTCCAGTGCCCCATCTTCAGAGCCTCTCCCTCCCTCGGTCTCTTCTTCCCGTGCAGAGCAGCTCTCCTGGACAGGGACAGCAGATGCGAAGTCTGGTAATCAAAGGGAACACTGAGTCAGTATCGGGACCTTTCCCTTTGCAGCATCCACACTTCCAGCAGGGAAGCGAAAACCTCAGAGCCTCCCCAGGAGGGCTGAAAGAACAAGCAGGCCGAGCGGGCCAGCGTGTGGCGAGCGCAGGCACGGCAGGACTGTCCTGCATCCCCCGGCAGGCCGGCACAGCTCCCGGGCCCTGCCGGCACAGCTGCCTTGCCCAAGGACAGCCCCTGTGCCGGCCGGGACAGCTGCACTGAGCAGCCCCAGCACGGGTAAGTCCCACTCCTGCCCAGCCGGGCAGTGCCCACGGCCAAAGCCCACACCACCCCCTGCGCCCACAGCTCCCACCCCGCCTCACCGGCTCTGGGTGGCTGCCCGCTGAGGAAGGCGGGCAGCGACCGGTCCGTGGGGAGCCGCTGGAAGCGACTGCGCTCTCCCGCCGCCGGCCGCTGCCTGTTGGCTGCAGTTCGGCGCTCGATGCGGAGCTCCTGCTCGGGGCGGTCGCGGCGAAATCTGCTGTTTCTGTAGTGCA